CACAAGGAAATGGTCCGACATCGCACTACTCCCTCGCATACTTCTTATATCTTTGACACATGATTTTATCCGGTTATCCACTAACATGTGATCTATTTGGTTTCTTACTAACCCACATGGGGACATCCATGTTTGTTTGTGTATATTCTTATGAGGGAAGTAAGTGTTACTTATTATCATATTTTTAGCTGTGGCAAAAGTGATTAGTTTGTTTCCATTGTCTTTCTTAATTTCATGTAGGCTTTCAGATCCAATTGTTGGTTTATATATGTTTTCCTTTCCAATCTTTGCGTTGAAGTCCCCTAATATTATTTTCGGTTTATCAACCGGTAGGGTATCACACACCAAGTCTAAGTCTTCATAGAATTTGTTTTTTATGTCGTCACTCTTGTCTTCTATCGGTGCATAACAGTTTACTAGAAACATGTTGTACCATTTACATTTGAGTTCTATATAGCATATCCGATCACTTATTGGTTGGAATCTCACAATATTTGTCGCAACGTTATCTCTTATTACAAAACCTACCCCGCGTTCATGTTTATCAACACCTCTGTATAATAATGTATTTCCTTGAGATTTCAAGATACCTGAGCTTGTCCATCTCACTTCTTGAATCGCGGTAATGTCCATCCCATATCGCTCAAGACACGATAGAGATGTTGTCAAAGCTCCAGTCCTATACAGAGATCGCACGTTCCAAGTTCCAATGTTGATGTCCGTTAAATATTTGATCCGAGGCTTAAGATGTTGTTGTTTCTTAACATTAGTCTTTTTAAGAGGTAGGGTTGTCAGCCCTACGCTCAACCCCCAACCTGGAGTGGCCCTCCACACCAACTAATTAAAGTCAGCGTGGGGCTCGGGGCCCCGGGTACGCCAAACCCGTAGTACTAGTTACTTAGTACCCCCCTGAGGGTTCACGTACCATATAACAGGAAGAAATGCCAAAGCTGGTATTTGACGATCAAGAAGATTAAAATTATCGTCATTTAGGTACTTATTGCTAAGAATTTTTCGGTAAATTGATTGTGTAAAATGAAAAAAACATGTTGAATGTGTTACGAAATTAAACACTTCATTTATTGCATTTTTTGATGCTAACTCAAAATCAGTAATTATTTCCAAATTTGAATTTTCTTCAAAATTTATTTCATTTTCAGCCCCAAAGTTATTAATATTTTTGAACAACTGAATATATAAATCTTCATCTTATGAAGTCATTAACTCAAAATAATCGAGAACCTAAAACAAAACCGATTATTATTACGCAAAACGGGAATTTGTACTTAAAATCTATTTTGGTTTTTGGTGCAACTCTTAAACAAATTACCTTAGGTACATGCAATTTTGACTGAATGTTTATATTAGCATATTCTATACACCATAACATTTTCCAAATATTTTGACTTATTTTGAGCTCTTTACGGACATTTTCAGTTTTCAATTTTTTTAGTTTTTTTTCTATAAATATCAATACAATTTTATTTGTTGGGTACAAAAACTTAAAAATTAAATAGAAGGTTCCTAATATATTATTTCAAATACAGATGAAAAATATTAAAAATCCATAGTCACATTTTTTTTTTATAAGCATTTAAAGTTCAAATATTGACAAAATAAGTAAACATGACGAAAATTAGAAAATTAAAATGAGTTAAGAATTTGTAAAAGTTTTTCTTTTTAAATCTAAGATTTTAAAATGTAATACAAAATTCCTTATAAGATTATCTACCTTTATCAAAAAAAAAATGTCTATAAGAAAGTCAAATTAAAATTTTATGAGGGTTTAAAATTCAAATGTTTACAACATTGGATATTCACTCGATTTCTCGTTTAGCGATTTCCTTATTTTGTGGTAATTCAAAAACGAATGACTGTAGATACATGAAAATTTCACTGAATGTTTATATTAGCATTTCCTATACACCTTACAATTTTGACTCTTTTTGAGCTCTTTACGGACATTTTCAGTTTTCAATTTTTTTAGTTTTTTTTTCTATAAATATCAATTAAGTTTTATCTGTTAGGCCAAAAAGTGTAAAAATTTAATACAAGGCTCTTGATTTATTTTTACAATATCAGGTCAAAAATATAATAAATACATAGGCACAATTTTTTTTATAAGCATTTAAAGATCGTATTTTGACAAAATTTATCAAATTTAAAATTGAATAATTATTTTGTAGTTAAAAATTTATAAAATGTTCAACTTCTTATCTAAGGATTGAAAATTTAAAGAAAGATTCCACGTATGTAGTTAATACTGTTCCCAAAAAATCTAAAAAAATACATAGGCACAGTTTATTTTTATAGTTGTTTTAATAAATTTTAATTATGTTACACTTACACAATAAAATAATTAATAATAAAAGTTACCAGGGTGAGTTGTATGAAGACGGTGAATTTTATTATGCCATACTTCTGCAGAGTTTGAAGTTCTTGGAGTTCCGGAATGTCCTTGATGAAACAGACCACATTTCAGGAGGGAAAATCGGTTCATTTCTTTTCGGTGTTCTATTATTGCGATATCGCATTCTAATTTTACCATTAATATAGTTCTCATTTAAATATGATACAAATTGCTGTTCATTTTCGTAATTGCTAAATTGTATTTTTAATTTACTCCAAGCATCACTTACCATATTAACAGGAAGAAATGCCAAAGCTGGTATTTGACGAGCAAGAAGATTAAAATTATCGTAATTTAGGTACTTATTGCTAAGACCAACATTTTGAATTTTTCGGTAAATTGATTGTGTAAAATGAAAAAAAACATGCTGAATGTGTTACGAAATTAAACACTTTATTTATTGCATTTTTTGATGCTAACTCAAAATCAGTAATTATTTCCAAATTTGAATTTCCTTCAAAATTTATTTCATTTTCAGCCCCAAAGTTATTAATATTTTTGAACAACTGAATATATAAATCTTCATCTCATGAAGTCATTAACTCAAAATAATCGAGTACTTAAAACAAAACCGATTATTATTACTCAAAACGGTAATTTGTACTTAAAATCTATTTTCGAAAAAATCGATTTTGGTTTTTGGTGCAACTCTTAAACAAATTACCTTAGGTTCATGAAATTTTGACTGAATGTTTATATTGGCATATTCTATACACCATAACATTTTCCAAATATTTTGACTTATTTTGAGCTCTTTACGGACATTTTCAGTTTTCAATTGTTTTAGTTTTTTTTTCTATAAATATCAACTAAGTTTTATCTGTTAGGCCAAAAAGTGTAAAAGTTTAATACAAGGCTCTTGATATATTTTTACAATATCAGTTCAAAAATATTAAAAATACATAGGCACAATTTTTTTTATAACCATTTAAAGATCGTATTTTGACAAAATTTATCAAATTTAAAATTGAATAATTATTTTGTAGTTAAAAATTTATAAAATGTTCAACTTCTTATCTAAGGATTGAAAATTTAAAGAAAGATTCCACGTATGTAGTTAATACTGTTCCCAAAAAATCTAAAAAAATACATAGGCACAGTTTATTTTTATAGTTGTTTTAAGTTCAAATTTGGACGAAATTACATATTAAAAAACCTAGAATAACTATTTTAGTTATTTTGTTGTGATTGTATAATATTATTCGTGGGTACAAATGTGAAAAAAGTAAATGTGTAATGCTTTAGATCGTAAATCGTATGGCGTTTGTGGAGGTAGAGCGAACAGAATTCCTACTGTTAGGGTCGTTGCCCGTTGGGGACCATTCGGTAATTTGTAACTCTGTACCGATGGAACGAACAAAAGGATTACAGGAGTTCCTCTTATCACCGTCAAGTTGGTTGTCTTTTGTTTTCGTAGTTTTCGTGACAGAATATTATTATATTTTTAACGGCTATGTCTGGCTTAATAATGAATAGGCGCTTTTGAAACATTCATTTTTAATTATACAAATAATATCTCATCAAATTTGTGACTGTAAAATCAAAAAGTTAGGTTTTTCTTGGTTTCATTCATGTGCTTTGTACAGTACTCGGCGAGATTGCAGTAGACTTATTATCTATGTATTATACTTGAAGCATACTATACCTTTAAAAAAATACGACGCGCGATACCTAACCACCCAACAATTCTATTGATGACTGGATTAACTACCACGAGAAAACTTACACCTCAAAACACAATCATCGTCTATAGGAAACCGGAATACATCTGTCGTATACATTCAAAGACTGAGTGACCGAGGCTACCTACGTCTATTGATCGAGTTCTCTTTTCCACGATTAAAGATATACAGGTTGCACATCGCCCTATAGTAAACCGCTTCCAGACTGATTTACAAAGTGACTATAAAAATCAGCTGTTAATAATTAACTAGTGGCGCTTAATGTCAACACTCAACCATATGTGTCGACATTTAGAACTAATTTTACACCTATATATCTATAATCGGTTAATTGTAATATTGCCGCTTGGAGCGCCACTGGTTAATTATTGGTAGTCATTTCGTATTTCACCTTATCAGTAGTCGATGTGCAACCTGTATATCTTTAATCGTGCTCTTTTCTAAGTTCCAGGGCTGGAAGTGGTTAATGCTATTTAAAAAAGTGACTAAGTGACTGAATTTATTCATAAAAGTGACAAAAAAGTGACCTGCATAAATATGTTTCATAATAACTTACCAGTTATTAAACATAAATTGTCTTTGAATCTCTACATACCTATAATTAAATTGATTCAAACTAAACTTACTTCATTTTGTAGAAATTACAAAAAATAATGATTATAATAAACACAAATTTTAATAGCAAATAATTAAATCATATTACCAATTTAAATTAATAATATTTATAATATAAAATAATATCCAAGATCATTGTTTAGGAAATTCTTTTATTTTAATCATAAGTTTAAGTACAAAACATTAACAATAACAGTATTAATAACACAACTTATTATAATATAATTAGCACCATTACAAGGTTTATTTAACAGTTAACTTGACTAGATGAGACTATATATATATTATATAGACTATAAGGCTGGAGTGCAGGACTTGACTAGTTTTTTTTGAAGTTTGGTTAATTTTTTTTGCAATTCTTCTGCTTCCTTTTTTTCTTGGTCTCTTTCTTTTTCAATTTTGGAGACTCCAGCAAGCATTGCTTGACCCAATTCAATTTCAGAAAAATTTTTTGCTTCTACCCCTTTCTTCAATCTTTGATTTGCTTCTAGCAGTAACTTTTTTGCAAGATTTGATTTACTGTCCTCTAATTTCCTTTTTTTACTTAGTTCTTTTTCAATAGACAAAATACTTTCCTTATCTTTCTGTATCTGTTCTTTTGATTTTTGTTCTAAGAGTATTTTTTCTTGTTCTTGTTCTTTTTCTTTAATTTTTTGTTCTTTTAGTTCTTTTTCCTTGTCTAAATTATTTTTGTATCTATTGTAAGCACTATGTGCCAAGCTTATTAATTTAGGAGTGATTGGTACTAATGCAGCTCGATTATCATACATTTTAATAGCATCTTTGACAACAAGCGCTGCATTCAATGTTTTTTCTGACATGCTTGCACGATCGTCTGTAAGATAATTTGCTGAGCATGAAAACCCCCTTTCAACATCAGCATTACCGTGGGATACTGATAAAGCAGCTTTAACAACTTTACTAAGCAATGGATACTTAAGGTTACCATTCTCAGATTTTTGAGTTATTATTAAATTCCAATATACGTCTATTCTTAAACTATTTTGTTCACTACTTGATTCATCTTGTAACTGAAATAATTTCCACTCATCTGTGAGTCTATCTACATCAAAGTCATTTTGAAAAGGGAGTTCTTTAGCAATAATTAACAAGTCATTAGTACTTCTCGTTGATAACTTTTCAGATGGTTTTAAAAATCTGAAGTTCTTGATGATACTGCGATTGCCACTTAATGGAGCCTTTTCAATTATATACTTACAACTTGCAATAATATGACTTTGACACTGTTTTATGAGACTTAAACGATCTACATCCTTCATTGATGATGTTGTTGTTTTGAAAGCGCTTCCTAAATCTATTTCAGATAAGGGTAATAAATTATCTTCATTTAATATGTCAATTTTAAGAGGTGTTTGTGAAGTTAATGATAGTGGTTTACAAATTCTACTAAGAAGAGTTAAAAGTAATGTTTTAATTTCATCATACATTATGTGTATTAATGGTTCAGTTTTTTGAAAACTGCCAGTAAAACGAGTGAAAATTTTAGAACTCATTAACACAAACTCAATTTCAGCTTTCAACATCAAAGCATCTTTTTTTAATAATGAAGCAATTCGAATAAAACTTGGAGACTTTGAAAGCGAATGTACTTTAAGTGGCACATATTTTAAAAAATAATGATTAACAGCATCCCAAAGCAAAAGCAGTCTATTAGCAGCAGGTTCAATTGTTAACCATCTAGATGAGCAATGTTTAATAAAGCGTAAATTAGGCATATTCATTTCAGTTTGGATGCGCTCAAAATCTTCCAATCTGGATGGCCAGCCATCAAAAAAATTATGCATTAATACAATTAAATCTGATACATTTTCTCCAAATACTTTTAATCCTTTTAAAAATGCATTGTGCAATAAATGAATGTTACAAAAACCAATATCTATTAATTTTTTTTTTCGTATAATCCACAACTCTTCGTTCATTAATCTCAATACTTTTTTATTAATATTCGGACCATCACTGCCTACCATTATTAGCTTATGAAGAGATAAATCAAATGATGTTAAAGCTTCTTTAAGTTTAAAAAATAAATCCTCACCAGTGGCTTTTCCAATGAAAAATGTTTTTAAGTGATGACAAACAATACAATTACTTCTAGAAGACCAATAACGAACCGCAATTTGAAGTTCCTTAGCACCTGTTACGTTAGTGGTTTCATCGAACATCAAAGTATAATATGTATTATTCATATCACTTATAAGTTGGTCTTTGAAATATGGTTCCAACGCATAAGTTAATAGATACCTACAATCAAAATAAAATACTTAGTATATTATGTGATGTGCAAATAAAGTACTAAAATATTCATATTAATTATGAAGAAATAATATTAATAAAATAATATTTTATTTTATTTGTTAAAAATATGATTGATGACAGTTTAGCTATCGAATAGGTACAGATTGTTCGTAGTTACCTGAATTTAGTACGGCTTAATGTAAAATCTTTTGGAACAGCCCCCGGAAACATACAGTTAAATATTTCTGGTACATCACTACATGATGATGCTGAATAGTTACTTGCGACTACCTTCATGGTCCATAATAATTCAACTCTACAAGCATTTTCTCTAGTACTATGGAGAGAAATGACTTGTGCACCTGTAGATGGGTTACTTGATGTTAAAGAGCCACTTGATAAATGCAACTGACTTGCTGACAATTTATTCTTCGCACTGGTTATATGTTTTTTCATCAATGCGTGTTGAGATAAAGCTTGAAAGCCTTTCTCCACATTTATTTTACTTCCACACACTTTACAAAACGCGACATGATCGGAAAATTTGGAAGCCCAATCTTTGATTTCATGGCCGTTTGTGTCAATTTTTGAAAGCCAATCTTCACGAAAGAAGCATTTAGTTTTACCCATTATTAAATTATTAAATTATTAAATTACTAAAATTAATATAAAACCGTTTTATTAAAACGGTATGACTTTATTGACTTAATGAATTATGATAACAGAGACAATAAAAACTAGCGGGAAAATATAAGCAATGATAGTGGTTCAACAATAAATTATTATTGTCAGGGAATCATGGTAATAACCTTAAACCATAGAACAACTAGATAGCCAACAAAAGGGGAGATAGCGTCCCCACCACTTCCACTTACTTTTCTGTAGTTACCGCGAAGAAGGTACTAGGTAGTAACTGCATTTTATTATACAGAACGTCTTTGGTTGTTATATGCTACTATCAGTTTTGTGGGAACTACAGAAAACTGTAATAACTTGAAAAAAAAAAAAAAATTTGAAAAACAGATATACGATCTTTATCGGTGCGGCGGGCGAATTCGGAATTATGCGCAGTTCAAATATAAATTTAGGTACATTATGAAAATAAGTGACATAAGTGACTTATTTTCTAAATAAGTGACTTAAAGTGACACAATTTTAAAAAAGTGACTTTTAGTTAAAAAAGTGACTTACTTCCAGCCCTGAAGTTCCAACTGCATACAATAAAGATAACTGTCTACTGATCAGGCTAATTTCAATTTCCGACCTTTCAAATTGGTCTCACTGGTTGCACTTTTATATTAATTATTTTAACTTTATTTTTGATAGTAATATATTATATATAACTAGGTTTTAAAAATGCATAAGTGGTGTAGCTTGCTTCAATACATCCAATAACACCAAGGTCAATCGTCCAGGAGTTATTTATCATATGTGAGTATCAATTGGATCTAAAAATTAACTCGCTCAAACTGTTGTGAAAAAACCGCACATGGATTTTTGAATCATATTATCACATTCAAAGACTGAGTGACCGAGGCTACCTACGTATATTGATCGAGTTCTCTTTTCTAAGTTCCAACCTAAAACAAAAACGATTATTATTACGCAAAACCAATTTTTCCTCAAATGTACGAAAAAATAATAATTATAGAGGCATCTATACACTACAAATGAAAAAATATACTTAGGTTAAAATTATATATTTAATTTAAAACCAATACAATTTTTGGTGCTTGTTATTGCGAACACTTTTTCAGTAGTTGTGTCATAATTTGAGTTTCAACCGTCGATTAGACAACACGTTCGTTGCGTTTACCTGTCTTATCAGTTTACTTACGTAATATTGTTCAATTTTTAATCAGTTTGATCGCATTAGTTCGGTTTTTTTTATTATAATGGTTTTGAATACTAATAGTTGCGGTGTTTGTGAGCTACAATTTAATGATCTTGACGCTCAATTAAAATGTGACAGTTGTCCGAGACTTGTTCATCACAAGTGCTCTGGGTTATTAGCTTCTGAGATTAAATGTCTTACTTTGAAAAATCGTAAATTAAAATATTTTTGCGATTCATGCGATAAAGGACTAAATGAATTACCGGATTTGAAAAATCTAATCAGTTCTTTGTTGGTTGAGGTTGAAAATCTTAAGAATAATTCGTGTTCATCGAGATCTGACGAATTTATAATAAACGAAATGAACGAACGAAATTTTCGGGCTGCGAATGTATTATTTTATAATATTCCGGAATGTACGTCTAGTAATATTGAAGAAAGAGTACTTTACGATAAGGAAGAAATATCTAAAATTATCAAAGATACATCGTCCGATAACAAAACACCGATTAAAGTTATTCGTCTCGGGAAGTCTTATCAACCCAATAAACATCGTCCAATTAAAGCAATTTTCTCTTCAGCTGGTGATGCTTTCGATATATTGAAAAATAAGAAACATATTTTATCTCGCCTCCCTCCTAATTCTTCAAATATTGGTATAAGTTCAGATAGAACTCTATTTCAACGTGAACAAATGAAGAAATTACGGGATCAATTAGCCGCACGCCAATCCAGTGGTGAACAAAATCTCACAATCAAATTTACTAAAGGTACACCGGGTATTGTTGTTATTGATAAAATTGTAAAAAATTCTCAAAATTTTTAAGTTTACATGCTAATTACCAGAATGTTAGAGGTCTTTTGACCAAATTGTTTTATTTTCGTAATTGTACAAGTGTTATTGATTGTGATTTATTACTCCTGACCGAAACTTGGCTGAATAATAAAGTTAGTAATGCAGAATTAGGTCTCAATAATTTTCATATTTTTCGTATGGACAGAGAAAATGAACAAGAATCTAGAGGTGGTGGTGTATTAATTGGTATACGATCTGGTATAAAATGTAATCGAATTGATGTTCCGATTATCATTGGAATCGAACAAATATTTTTAAAAATTATTTTTAGGTCAATTAAAATTTTAGTTATCTGTGTTTATATTCCTCCTAATATCAGTAGAGACATTTATTATGAACATTGCGATTTGGTTGAGAACATTACTTCAAGTAACCCTGACCATAAAATACTTATTTTTGGGGATTATAATTTAAATAATTTTGATTGGACCTTGGATTACTCTCTAGTAACCCATCCTACTGCATTCGTTGTAGTTAATTCGTTTATTCAATATTTAAACCTAAAGCAATTCAATTTTATAAAAAATAAAAATGGTAGAACTCTAGATCTTATTTTTAGTGATATCGATAAAATAATGGTCAATAAAGGGTGTTCTTTTGTCCCCTTAGCTGATGAACACCATCCTCCTTTAGACTTATTATGTAATTTCGATCACTCATTTGTGAATGATGGTACTTATCAATTAACTTTTTATAACTTTCTTAAATCCGATTTTTCTAAATTTTCTAAATGTTTGTCTAGTATTGATTTCAATCACTCATTTAAGGATTTGAATATTGACTCTGCTGTTAATAAATTTTATGAAATTTTAAATCATTTTATTGAATTGTTTGTTCCTAAAAGTAAAATATTTAATAACCAGTGTCCCTCTTGGTTTAATTCGGATTTACGTAAACTTGTAAAATTAAAAAAATTGGCTCATAAAAAATTCAAAATAAGTGCTTTACAATCTGATTACCTTGAGTTTTCCAAACTACGTAAAGAATGTAAGATTATGTCATTGCATTGTAGCTCAAATTTTATTCTTAATTTAGAAAATAAAATACTATCAGATGTAAAACCATTTTGGAAATACATTAAACAGCTAAAATCTAATAAATCTTCCATTCCCGAAAATATGTCATATAATAATATTACGGCCAGTAGTTATGAAGAGTCTGCTCAATTATTTGCGCAATATTTCTCAAGCGTATACTCAACGTCTGATTCACTTAGTAATGTATTTACCAACCATGACGCTGATAATATTATTTCTAATTTAAATTTATCCTCTTGGTATATAAGTGAGAATGAAATTTTTGAAGCTTTAAGCTCACTAAATGTTTTTAGTAGTGCGGGTCCTGACGGTATACCACCTAGTATCTTAATCGAATGCAAAAATGTTCTTACTGAACCTTTACATAACCTTTTTAACTTATCCTTGTCAACTGGGTCTTTTCCAACTGTTTGGAAAAAATCATTTTTAGTCCCTATTTTTAAAAGTGGCGATAAATGTAATGTTATTAACTATAGACCAATTTCTAAATTATCTTTAATACCTAAACTGTTTGAGTCTTTAATTACAAAAAAATTATCTAATTTACTATCTAATTACATTTGTCCTAATCAACATGGATTTCGGCTTAAAAAATCTGTGTCTACGAATTTGTTGACTTACCATACCGATTTAATTAACTCCGTTGAAAATGGCGTACAAATTGATTCAGTTTACACAGATTTCAGTAAAGCCTTCGATAAAGTAAACCATTATTTACTAATAATTAAGCTACAAAGATTTGGTCTTCATGGTAATTTTCTTAATTGGTTGACATCCTACCTAACGGATAGATGTCAGTTAGTTAAGTTGTTTAATTCACTATCTAAGGTTATTTTTGTAAGTTCTGGAGTACCCCAGGGCTCGCACCTAGGGCCATTACTGTTTAATCTGTTTATAAACGATTTACCATCTGTTCTCGATTCTTCAGTCAATGTGTTAATGTTTGCCGATGACACAAAATTTTATTCTACTATTAAAAACCAAGATGATGCACTTAATCTTCAAGATAATTTAAATAAGTTTAGTATTTGGTGTGAACAAAACAAATTACCAATTAATATTGATAAATGCAATTCTATCTCTTTCACTAAAAAAATAGATCCTATAATTTTTAACTATCAAATTAATAATATTAATATTAACAGAGTTGAAATGGTCAAAGATTTGGGTGTTCTCTTTAATAATAATTTATCTTTCTCTATTAATACAAATATGGTTATAAATAAATGTTTTAAAATGCTGGGTTTTATTTTACGAAATACTAAAGAATTTAAAAATGTATTTACATTAAAAATGCTCTATTGTTCTCTTGTTAGGTCTCATACTGAGTTCGGTTCAATAATCTGGGCTCAAAATTCTACTGATAAATTGGTTGAGAATGTTCAGTATAAATTCCTTAAGTCTATAGCGTTTCGTTTAAACCTACCCATTTCTAGAGATTCATTTTCATTAGTAGCTAATTCTATTTATATTCAGCCTTGCGAGGTTAGGCGTAAGTTATCTGACGTCATGTTTATTTATGATCTTGTTAATAATTATATTGATTGTCCTGATTTATTAAGTAAAATTAGTTTTTGTACTCATAGTTATTCGACTAGAAACCCTTGTTTATTTCACGTACCTTTTTATAAAAAAAAAATATGTTCAGATTCATTTTTTCCTAGAGCTCTATCACTATGTAATTCAATTTGTAATGAAGTCGATTTCTTTTTTATGTCTCGTGAATCTTTCAAAGCAAAAGCTGTAGACCTACTATCTAATTGAAATTTAATTTTTTATATATTTGTAAATTTTTGTTATAATTCACCTTTCAAACTGTATTAATTATTTTGTATATGTATGGTTGTTCTTGTTTATTATGTATTATATCCTATGTAAAAGGGCTTGTCCCGTTAAACTTAATAATAAATAAATAATAAATAAATAAATAAATAATAAGTAAACATTTTTAAACTTTTAATTTTATAAGAAAATACAAATTATTAAATTTTGAACATATTCTAAATTAATTGACAAATGATAAAAAAAAAAAAAAAAAACAACATTGGCATTTACTAGAAAACATACCAAATACATTTTCTACACCTACATGTTGTTTTGAATACAACCAATGATATTATCTTTGTCGTCTTAACTTGTCTGGGGATGATGATAAGACTCTGAAAAAAAAATATCGGAGGTAATTAAATAGGTAAGTAATGATCATAGACCTATTAACTAATGGACTGCGCGTCAGACAAAATTTACTCAGACAACATCTGATAAGCAAAAAGGGGTATTTTGGAAGAAACAATGAATAATTATTTATTGTTCCAAGATTTATGATCACTGATTAGTTAATTTTTGGCGATAGCAGTCCGCTGATAACAAAAGTCGAAAACTTTTTAAATTATATTATATTATTTAAATATTTTATAACAATATACAATATAATATACACTTTGGGAAATCGGGAATTGGAATTTGGATTATTTAATCATGGTGAAAACTTGCTCAATTCCTATGTGTCCTAGCATAGCCTCTAAAGAACTTGAAATAAAGTTACACAAGTAAAATATATACTACAATAACTACATTAATTGAATTGCTAACTTCATCATAAATATACCTGGTGATTCACTCAATAACACTATCATTACACTCCATAAGATCAAATTTGAACAAAATAAGATATTAAACAAAGAAGGTACTGGACAGCAAAGTGTCTCACACTTACCCACCTTTTTTAATATTGAAATGAAAGGATCACCAGGTATTTTAGGTATATCATAGACCTATAAACTAATAGATCTAAGAGAGGTATATGATGTACAGTGTACACTGTTGGGTGAATTACTTTACTCGCTACATTAAATAATGTCATCTGAATTACAATCACGTTACCCGACATTATTTTTATCACGTTATACTTTATTTTTACTTTTTCATACAAAAAATAGGACGCTAAACATAATTGCTACTTTAAAAAAAAAATAAATAAATAAATAATTACAAAATTAGTCCATAACAATTAATAAGTAGTATTGTAAATGACAAATAAATGTAAATAACACTTAACTCCATTGAAATTACTTTTAAAAAGTATACAGCATATTTATAGGCTGAATAGTTTTAATGTTAATTGAAATTTTATAGATTTCCTTTGTCGAAAGAAACCAAAAATATATGGTTAACTTCAATACGTAGAAGTTATCCAACATTTAAAGTCTATGCCCATAGTGTCATTTGTAGCAGACACTTTAATAGTACAGACTATATAGTAAGTTCTCGTTCAAAATCCCGGTCACTAAAAAAGGATTCTATACCAACAGTTTTCGACTCAGAAAATACTGTATATGTTTTTAATGACAGTAAGTTAGTAAATAAATGTACAAATCATCCATCATTATTCAACTTTTATTATTGTTATTAGTTGAGACAAGTTATTCAAATTTGGATAATGGGGCAATTTTACTTGGAGCAAGTCAGTTGAATGGTACAATTTAATAATTCATTTAGTTTTACAAGATGTAATATTATATTTCTCTTCATTTTTTACATCATAGTTACTCCACAATTGTATACTGCTGACAATGAAGATAATGAGGCAATTTTAATTGGAGCAAGTCAGTTGAATGGTACAATTTAATAATTCATTTAGTTTTACAAGATGTAATATTATATTTCTCTTCATTTTTTACATCATAGTTACTCCACAATTGTATACTGCTGACAATGAAGATAATGAGGCAATTTTAATTGGAGCAAGTCAGTTGAATGGTACAATTTAATAATTCATTTAGTTTTACAAGATGTAATATTATATTTCTCTTCATTTTTTACATCATAGTTACTCCACAATTGTATACTGCTGACAATGAAGATAATGAGGCAATTTTAATTGGAGCAAGTCAGTTGAATGGTACAATTTAATAATTCATTTAGTTTTACAAG